ACATCATCAGTAACACAAAATAATAAAAATGCACTTTTAATTAACAGCAAATATAAACCCCAAATATTTACAGATAAAATAATATATATACAATGAAAATGAAATGATTACATGAGGGAAACTAATTACTAGTTTAACAACGCAATTAGTATTGTATTATTTACAGAGCATAAATGCATAATATGCATTTATTTTTGCGTTTCTTTATTAAATTTTGTCTGGAAATGCATGGAAACGATTATATTTGATAATTCAAATAATTATCCGATAAATGAAACATTAATTATGATAATGATAAACGGTATCCCAAAACGAACTGACATTTTACATTTGTCTTATTTTTTAAACCAGAGTAAATATTTGCATTGTGTTATGAAAATCCACTTAAAAAATTGTAAACATTTTACATAAACTTGTAACCCTATTGTGAATTTAATCAATAAATTTGAGTAAATCAGTTAAGTTGTTAAAAGAGCAGTGGCTATCCTTGTACAGCATGTTAGAATGAAATCATAGCCAGTGTTATTGAAAGTGTTGAAGAAAATCGTCAAATCATCAATCCGCTATCGCAATCAACAATTAGGAATTTCCAGAAGCTCTCTTCAACAAATTTTTACAAACGATTTGATTTTGTCCGCTTATGTATCTCACAGAACCTCCATGTCTCTACATTGTAATAAAGCAAAAATATTATAATATAATATAATACAAATAAAAAATGTGTTTTATTTCAAAATTAAAATATCAGTTCATTTTGAGACATCCTTAATTTATCGAGAAAACATTGTTCGAGTTCAAAACAAAAGTTGGTCTATCAATAAGTAGTTTTCTTCATGAAAACTATGTCTTAATGGACCCTTTGGAAGCTCAGACAAATTTGCGGTTCTCTGGAAAATTTGAAAACCCTGTATTTTTTTTAATTTTGTGGACTTCGAGGATTAATGTAAATTTATGTTTAGAGAACTCAGGCAAAATTAAATTTAAAGGCCAATACTAATTTGGATTTGGGAGCAAAAATTAATAAACGTTATTAATATTCTAAATTCTTAATAATGATATTATTATATAAAAATTAAATAATGAAAGCAAACATTATATTGAAAAAGGAAGTTTCATTTGATATCAAACAATGTATATGATTCATAATTTTGAATAGCAGGTTTCGTAAAGTCTAATTAATTAAGTTTCGTAAGGTAATAGGCTATTAGAATATTATAAATTCTTAATAAGATATTATTATATAAAATTTAAATAATGAAAGCAAAAATTATAATAAAAGGAAATTTAATTTGATATCAAACAATTTATGTGGTTAATAATTTTGAATAGATGGAGGTCCATTGAACGTTAATTAAGATACAATACAATATTTCCTTTCACAAAAAGTCGTTTGTTTCACAGGGATAATCTAATATTCCCAGTGTAATAATGAACTGGAATATCCCTATTCGATCCTTTTGATAGATATTCATTTTGAATCACTGCGCGCATCCCAATCGGTGGATTTGCCGGGTAAAAGATATATTTTTAACAATGAAGGCAATATGTGCGCACCAAATTGAAATGTTGCAAAACCGATATTACTCACATATGCATCAATGAGTTTTTGATGGATGTTGAGATATTCAATTGATTTATATAAAAAATATCACGACTTCTAATGGTCATAAAATCAGATACAAAAAGTGACATATTACAATCTCAACCAATTGTTTGGCTGGACCGATTCGAATCTGTGTGCCTGTGGTAGTTGAGGTACTTTGAACCATTGCTTCTATGAGTGCCCCAACAACTCAACCATCAGTGCGGAATTAATTATTACTCTTTTGATGGCATCTGGGAATCATGACGTGTATTTGGCTGTCTTTGAATTCTTAAAAAGATCTAAAATTTTGATCTATCGTCTACTCGGTATATTTTGTTGCAAGACTTGTCTCCTACGTCGTCTGTTGTTGCGGTCCTATCTCACCATCATCCTTTCCAAGATTCAATCTAGTGTGTTTAAAATGTTTTTATTTATATGTGAAATGGGTTACTTATTTGAGTTTTACATAAACTCAATCTAGTCCAAGTATACAGTACCGATGAGTCCCGGTTTGGAAAATTGTTTATATTATTACCCTATGTTATATGTTGAATTTGGTTCCGACAGAGCACGCGGCGGAAACTGGTGAAATTGTGCGCTGCAAAAGCTAAATGAAAAAGATAGTGGAAAGAATAAGAATTATTTGTATCAATCTACATTAAAATCATAATATGTATTTAACATACAAAAATGTATCAGAATTTTTGTGTTCCAGACTATAGTTAACGCTCTTTTATAATTTATTTGTTAACTTTGAAACATTTTGCCTTGAAAGAATACCAATTTTGAATTGTTTTTTTATTTCGTTAAATTTTTATAGGTAAAAGCAATAAAATAATCATTTTTAGTAAAATACGTTTTGATTTATGCAGGAAAAAAAATCTGAAATATTCTCGCTCGGGAAATCCCGGGAAATTTGTTATATAGAATAGATTAATTCTGTATGGTATTCATAATAAACGTTCATTTAAATTGCAGTCACAACATCGAACTTTCTTGATGAATGCATATTCTGCTACATTTAACACAATAACAAAACATACGGCTTCTGCGAAACAAGCGAGCATTAATTAAATGAAAATACTTTCGTAACTAAAACTAAAGTAAACTTTGAAAACAATGTGCGTTTGTTTAGGGTGCTGCAGACGCTTTGTGTACTAGCTGCACACGTCCGGTGGATGCGCCCGTCATCTGAAAGGGTTGCTGCGACACTATCGCAAAATTAGCAAAGCATTGTCTGGGTATGGCCGGAAACGAAAAATGGCGTAAACGTAATATGATGAATAAGTGATGGTCGCGTTTGAGGTGTTCCGTCGCGCTGAATAAATATGTCTGCCGGAAATTAAACAAAGCCACCCCCGACAACATGTGCATCGCAGTTTGTATTTATGGTCGCTGTCGTTTTGTTTATTTGCTTTTCGGTTCGTTTTCTTTCAGAATTATGCATTTCGCCCTTCTCTCCTCAAACGTGAAAATGTATGGTCATGATGGTAATAATTATGCGGTCATCCAGACGTGTGCGAATGCGAATGTGACATATGTGTGGCGGTTTCAGTTTAAGGCAGCATCGATTGCAACCGCGCACTAATTAATATTTAATCAACTGCAACGCTGTTGCATCGAATACAGCGTTCGCAAACACCGAGCGAACTCGTTTTAATTGCCTTGCAAAATATTTGCGACCGCATTTAAATATGGCAAATATTGACTTTCGCAACATATTTCCATGGATAATCATGATTCGAACCAAGCACAAAGTGTGATAATTTTGCATTTCATACAGCAGGATCTAATTACCACTCAGCGTTGCATAATATTATACCCTGCAAAGACGATATACCAAATTCATATAATCGGTTTTACCGTCAAACCAGATTCTTGTCCTTTAATTAAGCTTAGCACCAAGAAATTCCTCTCGCTTTGAGATATTTAGAGGTAGATTAACTTGAAAAGTTAAATTAAATGTAAACTTATACATATAAATAAGAACAAGAATATTTATTTTAAAATTACCAATAAAATTATTGATGAAATATTAAATATTACCAATAAAATGAATACAGAAATATTATCAATAAATCGATTTCAAACTTTGATATATAATTTCTACATAATTAAATTTTTAATTGTATGAAATAAGACTAACAAATTTTATTAACATCAACATAATTATATGTAACTTTATAACTAAACATTAATGTGAAAATCTAACATAAATAAGACTGTTAATATCAGCAGGATCAACAAACTTTTATTAGCCCTAACACTTTCTGTCCAATAAAATAAAAAAATTAGAAATTATTTATTTTTTTATATATTCTAAATTGGTCTGATTTTATACTATGGTTGCAATTATATAATTATTACAAAAAAAATCGGTATCAGTTTACAGACTGTTTATTCCAAATTATATTCAATGATATGTGTTTATTGAATACGATATATTAATGCAAATAAAGTTTCAACTAACTTTCAGAAACCTTTCTTTTTCTTCTTCCAATAATACGAACATTTCAGGTTTTATGTTTGTCTCTAAAGAACTATTTTAAGCGACTCAAAGTTCGATACCCTGGAGACCGCCAAAGAAACTCTGGAGAATAATGGGAAGTTCTTGGTAACTAGAATGAAGTATTATACAAATTTAAACTTTGTTAAAAAAAAATAACTTTTTTTTATATCATTTGTTTTTCTGAATAAACTTCTATGTTCTAACTATAATCAATAATTTAGTATAGCATTTATTAAATTATATAATAATTTAATTCAAAAGGGGTCAATAAAACAGATTTTATTCTTACACAATTTATAGCTTTTCTTTATGCTCTAAAGATCTTAATTAAATATTTCTGTAAATTATATTTTTCTGAATGAACTCCTACAGAGAATAAATTTAAATGACAATCAATAATAATTATTGTACAAATTTAAACTTTTCTAAAATTTTCCTTCTCTAAATTTTTTTTATGAATTCTCTCTGAAATCTTACTGTAAATATATACGAGGTGCCATAATTTCGATGCCGTACAAATGGCCCTAATTGCCACTTGCTAAAATATCGACGGATCGAAAACTTTCGTGCGGAGAAGACGGGAAAAATATAAGAAAGTTTACCAGAAGCAGCGAAATTGGTAACTTAATAATTTTACCATTCTCTCGTATATCTTACAATCGGAGAAATCAATTTGGAGCCGAACAAATTACGCCGAACGAGCGAAAAGTTTTCCTCCCCTACAACGAACTTCATTCTGCCCTAATCCATTTATTTTCCTAAAGTAAAACTATACCAAAATACAAGCGCATTGTTTAAATTTGATTTAGTCCTAAATTAAACGCAAACAAATGCAGCGGATATGTAAACAGCGGTGGAAAACTGATTAAAACCGCAGCTGAAACATCTGAAAATAATTATAAATACCTGTAAATTCGGGGGACAATGGTCGAGCAGCTCCAACATATGCCTAATGTTTTGGGCGTCCTGGATGACGAAATTGAGCTCCATGTCGAATTCGCCTCCAACAAGCTGCAAAAATAAAACAAAGAAATAAACATTAATTATACTGAAACGTAGATGTAATCGAACATCAAAAAGAAACGTCAATTGAATCTGCGGATGGACTTTTGCAACGATTTCCATTAATGGCGCAAGTCCCGCATTTCAATTATCGGTAAGCAAATATAATTTCCGAGGCACAAAACAGCCTGTATTTACTCAATGCATTTACATACTCTAACCATGTGTCTGGAGAAACACGGATCCAATCAAAAGAGTTATCACAACATACAGTATAAATTAAACTCACGTAATAAACGCAAATGAAATCGATATGCAGAATCATTGAGATTTCTCTACTAATAATGCAATCGTTACATCACATCTCCATCGTCCATTCGTACGAATTAATGCGCTGTGGTAATTATTGCAAATTTCCATTTAATTTATTTCGGAGAAAAGCCTTATTTAAATAATGCAATTTCCATTTAATCCTTCTAATGCCCCCTCCATCCCGGAACTTGCGACTGTCTTTGGAAAATATTTATTTCCACCCTAATTTTATTACAACCACTCTAAGTAATCCACCGAAAATACAATTAGAATAAGGGGCCTTACAATTCACCATTCTTCGACGAAACACTGTTAAAAACAATTTTATTTACTTGGTAATAATTGAAATCTTATTTCAAATATCTTTGAACTAATAAAATCCGTAACTACTTTTTTGAATAATGATTGTGCAAATATTATTTAATTACAAACTTTCATTATTTATTTACTATTTTCTCTAATTTGCTACAAACATTTTTTTTTTGTTTGTTAAAAAAATCCATTATTTTCATCGCATATAGTTTATTCGCAAATACCGTTTACATAATAATAACATTCCATCACAATGTGTTTTCGAATAATGCTGTGCGTTCGGAAAAATATTATAAAAATGCGACAACGAAAATGTAAAAAAAAACATTTTTTGTTGTTGTTGTATAATGGAAATACGAAAACCACTGTGGGTGGATTTCGTAGAATCAGGTAGCTGCTGCTCACATACTGATATTTTAAAATAAATAATATGATTGGATATTGATTTTCTGTAGTATATAGACATAGAAGTTAATATTGAATTTATGAAAAAAAAAATATATATAATCATACGACGCCGACGCTAACATTATTGTGGTATAAGAAAACATACTATGTAATCATACGGAATAGAATTGCGGATCCGCCGGGTTTCCAATAATAGTATGGATGTGATATGCATGGATTTAGAATTGGTTATTTTTGAATAAGTATATTTACTTTAGTCTATAAAGAAATTTATTGCGATATATCGCATAGTATTGCTTTAATCAGTGTAAATTCAGTAGAATAAAAATACATTTTAAAATGAAAAATTAGCAAACAAAATTATGCAACTTCCAACTACGAGATAACTCGTAGTTTATGCTATTGTTAACTACAAGTTCAAACTTGCCATATTTGTGTAACTACCATGAAATTTGTGTAAATATGAATAGATAGCCTCAGAGAGGAGAAGAATAGACATGAACAGAAAATATATTCATACAAAGTTTATTCAAAATCAACTAGCAAAAAAATATTTTTATTGTTTGTGATACTTTTTAAAATAATCTTGCACGCAAAGATTCCTGAAAAGTGACAGAATCCTGAAAAGTACAGAGACAGTCAATGTTTTAACCTCTTAACGCCGAATGTATCATATTTTGTTCCTTCCTTTTTTACAACAGTATAACAATATTTTCGAGCAATGATAGGATGTAGCATATTTAGTTAATGCGATTAGTGCGTTTTTCAGCCGTTTAAGATATTGGTGGTATCAATTGTCTGCACAATTGTATAAATTTGTTATTAAAACTGTCTATTGTATAAAAAAATAATGTAAGCCACAATCATCTTTACTTGAATAATTTACTAAAACATTTGTTTTTCTAAATAAAGCTACTTAATGAACAAACAAATCAATGTGGCTTCTCTATTAATTATGTTGACAGACTACGTGTTCATCATCATCATCTCGAAGGGGTAAAACATAATACAGTGACGAAACCAGAACAATGAGGCAAGACGGCAACGATAATCGATAGTATTATGCAACTATTATAGCGATTCCTTGAACCACCCTTGATATCAGCAGTTTACGTAATCTCTACTAGATTAGTTAAAGCAACTTCAGCGAACCTGGGAAGAACGAACAAAAGCTAAGCATAAACGTTTTTACAGGCGTGGAATTGGCGACGTGTCATCAGAGACAGTTAATTTAGAGGGAGGTCAGATATGCAAACATCGAAGAGGGGAATTCCCCCTTCGCTGTGAGTCTGATCAAATAAGGGATGGGCAGTCCGAGACAAGTTTAATTGGAGATGTAACTACCGTTTCGACCGCCCTACAAAACTTTTTACACAACGTATTTCGCTATCCTTTGCAAATTGCGGCAATGTCTGACCGTACACACATGTATGATGATGATGATGATAATAATAATAATGCTATAGCAACGTCAGATTTGTTTGATTAATCGAGGAATATTTACGAAGGAATGTCGCATGTATTTCCAAATAAGTTTCAATTACAAAACCCTCCGCCCTTCCAAATGTCATTAATGATAAGCGAGCATTATTCATCTCCGCAACGGCCGTTGCGTTATAAATTTATTAATCCCGACGTCAATTTAAATTTTGATTGATTATATCACATCGTGTGTTAGCACTAAACTCGCACGTCTATGTAACATATCTGTTGTTACAGTCTCTCTACTTTATTTTTTTTATTGCGCATAGCTCTCGCGAGCTCTTCATTCCCTTCATTTCCCACCGGAGAGGCCAAGTGGTGTGCAAAGCACTTTCGCTTTTCGCATCCATCCCATAACTTTTTTTTTTACGTTGTTGTTGTTGTTATATTCTTGTTGTTGTTTCATTTCGCTTCGTCTTCACTGCCAAATAAATTAACTTCCTTCGGGCCTTTGTTTCATCAAAAATGAAATTATTCCATTACGTCCGGATTATTCCTTTCCAGATAAATCCTCAGCTTTATAAATGATGCTCGCTTACCGAGATACCCGTCACTACATTTATCAAATATCCCAAACCCAAAAACATCATATGTACCATCAATCGACAAAACGCTACACATTTTTTCAATATAAAATAACGTTATACTTAATTTTTATCGATATTCTATTTGAAAGCACATGTTCTTGCTATCATTTTTTACCACCCTCCTCTTTGCGCCCTCAAAGTACTGAATGATGACTTTTTCTAGTAGTAAAAAATATGCAACAAAGAAAGAAGTCTTTAGTATTTCTTCAGTTATTTACTCATGAAAAAAATATATTGTAAAACTGTAAAAATAAAAATCTAGAAATGATTTATTACTTACATAATACAGCTGAGTCTGTGGTTTTGATTAAAGTTAGTTTGAAAACAATAAAAATAATAATTATCATTGATGATCATCGAGAAACAGAAACTCTTTTCTACAGAGGAATACACAAGGGCGTAATCTAGTTGTCGCAGTTAAATATAATTTCGCAGAGGCCGACAAATTAGGGTTGAATTATTAATGCTACGTCCCTCGTAACCTTTAATTAGTTGCGAAAATTGAGGCAATTGGATTGCGTCCAAAAATCCACTCCTATACACGTACCAATATTTTTTTCCCCGACGCGCGTTTCTCGGTTTGCTTTCGAGGGACCAAAGCCAAATAGGTCACACGACGGCCAAATGCTAATTAAATTATTTTATCGAAGGACGAATGGGCTCGGAAACGTAGAGTGAGAAAGAGAGAAAAAAAAACAATAACGGAAGTTAACCGTCGAAGAAGGAGTGCAGATGTTAAGGAATCGATTCGAGATTAAAAACTGTACGGGCCGAGGAGAAGTGAAAAAAAAAAGAACTAATTTAACTCGGGACCAAAGCTTAATTATGAAAATTAATAAGCCCCTCAGGCGAAGTTTGACGTCTAGATTCAGTGAGATTTTCCACGGTTTAAGTTTATTAATGGAAATTCCATTTTCCTTAGTCTTAATCATTCCCGCATTAATATTCTTTGTCTGCTTAATACTTTCCATTCCTAAGCCATATTGATTTCAACAATTCCTTATTAAGAATAAGAAATTCGAAAATTTAAACATAAGTAGAATTAAACTAACAGTTATATGATGATAGTTGAAGTGGTCAAAATTAGAATTACAAAAAGCAAAATCAGTTTACAAGAATAACGAATGAGTATATAGCATAATAGCAACATCTTACAACTATCAAACAGGAATATACCAAAAGGCTGTTAAAAATATACAGAAACATATTATAATGAAACCAGTGAGTCATACTGTGAGAAGATGCAGTATTTGCGTCTATATTATTATAACAACCAACGCCATAAACAAGCTCAATATCAAAGGAAAGATGTATATATGTATGTCTCTAGTATATAGATGTCAGGATGAAACAGAACTATATTAAATAGTAACAAGGATGTGCATCAATTGAAGAAAAAGTAAAACAAGAACTATTGATCATCAGCGAAATAAAATGAAAAGATTTAATAACAAGGAAAAATAATATTGTGTAGGATTTGTAGAAATTGATACTATATATAGAACAAACAAATGCATTACAGACAAGTACAAAATCAAACTGTTACCTAATTATAACGATATGAGAATTAATGAAGTAAAAGTTTAAACTTCAAATATATTTCATGTTTGAAGATAATAAATATAATCCTTATATGATATGTGTTACACCAAAGAAAATAACAATCATGAATAAATACACGTAATAAAAGCAAATATGAATTCAAATTTAAAAATATAACAAACAAATAATGATAAATAAAGTATAGAATATATTTTAGTAGATTGTGATTTTATACTTGGAAGGTATAGATTATGCTTTAGCACACAATTTGTGTTTAAAATAATTGCGTACGGTTGTCAAATGGTTACAGACGATTTGATCCAGGCGAAAGGTCGTTATCGGACTTTAAACGAAATTTGTGGATG